TTCATCTTTAATTATAACTTCTAAACTACTTGAAATATAGGGTCCAACCATAGGACCTTTTTGTTTTCTTTCGTCGAACTCTTCAACTTTTGTCTGAAGTTTTTTTCAATATTTCCAACTTTAATTCTAACTTGTAAACTAGTTGAGATAGCAAGGATCTGTAGCAAATTTTTACATTTCTTTAAATCCTAGGGTTTTATCCAGAAAACCCTAGATGGCATTTGTAGCGAATCTCGACAATTCGATAAATCCTAAAGACTTATTTACAAAACCCTAAATGGGATCTGACCTAAATTTTCACAATTACTTACACCTTAGGAACTTATTCAGAAAACCCTAGAAGAGATCTGCAGCAAATCTCCACATTTCCTTAGTTCCTAGGGACTTATCCAGAACACTCTAGATGGCATTTTTAGCGAATCTCGACAATTCGATAAATCCTAAAGACTTATTTAAAAAACCTTAAATGGGATCTGACCTAAATTTTCACAATTACTTACACCTTAGGGACTTATTCAGAAAACCCTAGAAGAGATCTGCAGCAAATCTCCACATTTCATTAGTTCTTAGGGACTTATCCAGAACACCCTAGATGGCATTTTTAGCGAATCTCGACAATTCGATAAATCCTAAAGACTTATTTAAAAAACCCTAGATGGGATCTGACCTAAATTTTCACAATTACCTACACCCTAGGGACTTATTCAGATAACCCTAGAAGAGTTCTGCAGCAAATCTCCACATTTCCTTATATCCTAGGGACTTATCCAGAAAACCCTAGATGTGATCTATTGCACATTTGACATTTTAAGCAATTCCAAGATTTTTTTAAATTCTTAAATCCTAGGCGTTTTTTCAGAAAACCCTAGATGAAAAATCTTATCTTGTCGATATCTACAACTTTTGTCTCAACCATTTCTCAAAATTCTCAATTTTAATACTAACTTCTAAATTAATCGAGATAGGAGGTCCGGCTATAGGACCTTTTCGTCTCGTCTCGTCAAGATGTACATCGTCTGTCTGAAGCTTTTTTTTATATTCTCATCTTTAATTCTCACTTTTAAACTAGTTGAGATAGCAAGAATCTGTAGCAAATTTCCACATTTTGTTAAATCCTAGGGATTTATCCAAAAAACCCTTGATGGGATCTGTAGCGAATTCTGACAATTCCATAAATCCTACAGACTTATTTAAAAAAAAACTTTAGATAGGATCTGACCTAAATCTTCACAATTATTTACATCCTAGAGACTTATCCGGAAAACCCTAGAAGAGATCTGCAGCAAATTTTTACATTTCCTTAGATCCTAGGGACTTATCCAGAAAACCCTACGAGAGATCTGCAGCAAATCTCCACAGTTTCTTTGATCCTAGGGACTTAATCAAAAAACCCTAGATGAGTTCTATTGCACATTTGACATTTTAAGCAATTCCAAAATTTTTTCTAGATTTCTAGATCCTAGGCGTTTTTCCAGAAAACCCTAGATTACAAATCTTATCTTGTCGATATCTACAACTTTTGTCTTAACCATTTCTCAAAATTCTCACCTTTAATTTTAACTTCTAAATTAATCCAGATAGAGGGTCCGGCTATAGGACCTTTTCGTCTCGTCTTGTCAAGATGTACAACTGTTGTCTGAAGCTTTTTTTAATATTTTCAACTTTAATTCTAACTTCTAAACTACTTGAAATAGAGG